TATTTATTTCTTGATGGTTTGTTGTATTATTGTGGTATTTGTTTGTGTTTCTTGGATATTTCTCTGTACCTATTGAATATTCATCTATTTTTTGTGTTGGATATTTGTGTGGATTGTTGAGATACTATTCGTGGTGCCGTGGATACTTGTATTCCAGAATATCTTAGTATGGGTGGGCCCAAATCAGTTTTGGGTGGGCTTTTGGGTCCTTTTCAACAAATTGGGGAAAGAATAGAAGTGATGGGCAATTAATGCCACAACCACTTTTTCTCTCTCAACTCTCCCAACCCCTTCTTCTCTCTTCTTTTCTCTGAACTTCCTCTTCTCTTCTCCGACGGAAAAGTCGCCGGCGGCGACCTGCCTCTTTCCTCTTCTTCCTCCGGCGTCCAGGAAACGTTGCTGATGATGATCCATGATGAGGCCGAGTTAGATCCTCCACAAACGAGCTCGTCCCATGAAGAAGAAGAATTTGTTGATGGTGTATTAGAAGGTTTGACTCAAATAGATGGTGGTTGTGGGTTTGGCTTCGATGCTACAGTAAAAGAAGAAGAAGAAGAAGGTGATTGTGGATTGACATATTTATAAGTTTGTGTTGTTGAGTTTTGGTTGGGAGCATTGAATGAAATTTAATGTCTTTGGTGTGAGTTTAATGTTTGTTGGTCTTCTTGGATTCTACTATGAGCTAGTTGGATACTTGTTACCTACTGTTTGTTGGACGTAGTTTGTAGCCCATGTTTATTTTGTGTGGATACTAGTCTGGGCATATATTATATTCATTGAAATATTGTGGATACTAGTACGTTGGATTATAATACTGATGTTTATTTTGGGTGGATACTAGTCTGGGCATATATTATATTCATTGAAATATTGTGGATACTAGTACGTTGGATTATAATACTGATACATATTTGGAGAAATGGGATACGATTTTAAGATTCATGGATACTACTGTTTATGGATATTTGTTACACGTATTCTAGTGTGAGTTTAATGTTTGTTGGTCTTCTGGGATTCTACTATGAGCTAGTTGGATACTTGTTACCTACTGTTTGTTGGACGTAGTTTGTAGCCCATGTTTATTTTGTGTGGATACTAGTCTGGGCATATATTATATTCATTGAAATATTGTGGATACTAGTACGTTGGATTATAATACTGATGTTTATTTTGTGTGGATACTAGTCTGGGCATATATTATATTCATTGAAATATTTTGGATACTAGTACGTTGGATTATAGTACTGATACATATTTGGAGAAATGGGATACGATTTTAAGATTCATGGATACTACTGTTTATGGATATTTGTTACACGTATTCTGGGAATTTCTCTGGGCGCATTGGATACTAACTGGCAATGGAAATATCTCGCAGCTCACAACACTTCGGACCTAGAAGATGATGAAGCGAGGAATAACATCTTTTTTCGCACTAAGGAAGAGTGTGTTCGTTTCTACCAACGCTATGCTCACAAGAAAGGGTTTGGTGTTCGAGTAGATTCGCAACATTTGAGAAAAAGGAAGAATTCTGAAGGAGAGGTGGTGGAAATTTATGCCTACCTTTATTATGTTTGTAATAAGGAAGGGTCAACGGAAGAAGTCAATGTTCAGAAACAGAAACATGGAGAGGATTCCGTTGTAGAGAGAAGTCGCCCTAAAAGAAAGAGGTCTCGAATTAGGGGTGAATGCCCCGCCCTTATTCGTTTCCGATGGGATGAGAATAGGGATGGATATGTGGTGCACAGTTTCATGGGAGCTCACAATCATGATTTGCAGCCCACCAAGCATGCTCACCTATTAAAGTCAAACAAGTCCGTGAGCGTTCCTCAAGGACTTGTTGCTGAAGCAAATCGCAATGCCGGGATGAGCCTTAGGTCATCGTATCAGCTATTGGCTGAGTGTGCCGGTGGGTATGAGAACTTGACTTTTACCAAATGTGATCAGAAGAACCATTTGAACAAGAATAGACAAAAGACTATGTCTCGTGGCGAAGCGACTTTCTTGATGGACTACTTTCAAGACCAAAAGGAGAAGTATCCCGGCTTCTTTTATGCTGTAGAGGTAGATTGTGAGGAGAAAGTTGCCAATATTTTTTGGGCAGACAGTAGGATGCGTGAAGATTATGCACTTTTCGGAGACTCTGTCTCCTTCGACACCACCTTCCGAACCAATAAACACTTCCGGCCATTGGGTATGTTGACCACTTATTTTCCTTATTTTTTTGGACAACGCAAACGGGTGATAGAGTTTAAACTTTAGGGTTTAGGGTACAAATAGTAGATATTAGTTTGTGTGTTGTGGATACTCTGTCTTTCCTAGTTGTAATACTTGTTTCTGACATTATGATATTTTTTCTGGGTTGCTGGATATGTGTATGGGTTGTCTGGATATTTTTCTGGGTTGTCTGGATATTTGTCTGGGTTGTATGGATATTTGTCTGGTTATGCATTGTTTTTAATACCAAGTCTTTTGCAGGGATGTTTGTAGGTTTCAATCATCACCGACAAACTTGTGTGTTTGGCGCTTGTTTGCTATATGACGAGACAACTCCTTCTTTTGAATGGTTGTTTGAAGCATTTAGTCGGTGCATGAAGAGGAAACTCCCAGTGACCATCTTCACAGATCAGGACGCCGGTATGGCAGCTGCCCTTAGAAAGGAGTGGCCAGATGTGTTTCATGCTCTCTGTACTTGGCACATCTTGATGAATGCGAAGAAGAATCTTCGTAAGAGCAAGAAATTTTGGCATAAGTTCCAAAATCATCTTGCTTATCTTTTCTACTACGTCGACAGCGAGGCCGAGTTTGATGAGGCATGGAGCAGCATGGTTTCGGATTGTTTTCCCGGTAGTGAAACTGTCGATGGCCACCAATGGATGCAATATTTGAAGAAATTTCGTCATCAATGGTGTTCCTTATATCTGAGAGATCAATTCACAGCGGGAACGTTGACAACGCAAGCCAGTGAGTCGTGCAATTCACAAGTGCGACTCTTCTTGAAACCGAAACATAATCTCGACGAGTTTTTCATTCACTTTACCGGGTACGTTATCCAAATACTAGTTGGAAATTTATGGATATTACTTAGCCCCTTAAGGACATTTGTAGATTATTTTCTGGTATTTGTATGTGATGCTAGGATACATTTTTGTGTTGTTTGGATATTTTCTCTGTTTGTCATGGATACTAGTCTGGGCAATTTGGTTTTCTTCATACATGCAGTTTGTTGGCTGACAAAAGGCGCAAAGAGACTGAGTCCGACTATGATGCCTTACAATCAGCCCCTTACATAGTGTTGGAGAAAAGTTCCATCCTCCAACATGCTGCCAAGATCTTCACGAAAAATATCTTCCACCGGATTCAAGAGCAATATCTGGAAATTGAGGACTATCTAATTGAGCTTGTTCAAGATAATAGGGATGATGGCTTCATTAGCTACCGTACATATAAGATGGAGGATGATGAGCGTAGCGATGAACGTGTCATTCTTGTCGATACTTCTACGGCCACATTGGTATGCGATTGTAGGATGTTTAGAACATTCGGGGTCTTATGTCGGCATATGCTTAAGGTGATGCGATTTCTTGGAGAGTTTGGGAACGATAGTATGAGAACTATTCCAGATCATTACATACTCAAGCGATGGACGTTGGAGGCGAGAAGGAAAGAGGTTGGTGATGGTGATGCTGATGAGAAAGGCGATACTTCACATAGTCATGAGAATGAGACGGGAAAAGGAGATATAGCAATGAGGTACCGAGAAACCACTGCAATGTTTAATCAGCTCGCAACAAAATTGTCAATGGCGGATGAGAAAGTGTACAACAGGTGGATGGGAGCATTGCAGAAAGTGTGCAAGGAGGCAAACAAGGCATTGTCAAAGACTATAACTAGCGAGGACGGTAAGTGTATCGAACTATTTTTTGTAAATTAGTATAAGTTAATATCATTGGACGGATTACTTAAGCCACTAACATTGTAGGGAATTATGTACCAACAACTGGCCTCTCTCTCAAAGAGAAGAGTAATCCAAGGAAGCACGGCAAGGAACGTTATAAGTCCACGAATGAGAAAGAGCGTCGTCGAAAGAAGATTGTCTATGGAAAGAGATTGAAAGCATTGGAAGTGCTAGCACAGGAAAACCATTTTCAACATGATGACCATCTCACCGACTTGGAAGACGACCTTGCTGAATTTGGGAGTGGATATTAGTCTGTCAAACTCAGATATTTTTTAAGCAGGCTACGATATTTATCTACCTTGCTGAATTTGGGTGAGGATATTAGTATGCAATGTAGGGATATGTGTTTTGGTTCTACAAATATTATCTCTAAACATTCGGATATTTTTTTTATATTTTATGTATTTGGTTGTGTGGATTTTATGTATTTCCATCAAATATGCTCAGATTTTAGTTTGGGTGTTTTGGATATCAATTTGGGTCATATGATATACTTTAGTTGAAGGAAAGATATTCTTAATCTATCTTTGATAAACTAATAAACCGAGCAATAATTTAAACGACAATAGTGTTTACTTTTGTACAAATGTTACCAAAATAACACACTCCAAGCTTATACTAATAAAGCGAGTGATCAGGATAGAGTTATTGTCTTCTTTTCTCCAAGGACTTCCCAAAATGAAACATAAACATCAACAGTAACAGTACAACATGAAACATAAGTTTCATTTAATCTTCCCTTTTTCCTTATATGCTGCCCACTCCTTTGCATCGTCAAGTACGACATTCCTTACCTTGTTGTACTTCCATTGAAGGAGACTGGCTGCAATGGATGCTCGCTGGTGCTCGACGTGCTTGTCCAAGTGCCAAGTTTCCTTGTATTCCGATGGAATGTGGCCCGCCCAGTGCTCCAAGAACATGCACGCGAACACTCCACAAGTCATGGTTTCCATCTTGTTGAGGAACATCCGCAATGAAGAAGTCCCAATCATGCAAGGGAAAATCGAGGTCGTACTTTGCAAGGAAAGCAGCCCCATACTCAAATATCAATTTCCCCATGGGAGAGTGATCCACCTTGGCCACTGCTGGCTTGGGTTTCTGGCTGTCCAGAAGGAAAGTCTTCTGACTCCTTAGATCAGCAGCGTAGACCCGGTAGTGTTTGTCCTTATGCACAGGGAAAAAAACCTGAAACATAGAAAAAAATCATTTATTGTCTCGGACAAATATCCAATAAACCCAGACTAGTATCCAAAACTAACATTTCATGTATTCTGAGGCAAATCTTCAAACAAATCATTTATTGTCTCGGACAAATATCCAATAAACCCAGACTAGTATCCAAAACTAACAATTTCATGTATTCTCAGGCAAATCTTCAAACAAATCATTTATTGGTCTCGGACAAATATCCAATAAACCCAGACTAGTATCCAAAACTAACAATTCATGTATTCTCAGGCAAATCTTCAAACAAATCATTTATTGGTCTCGGACAAATATCCAATAAACCCAGACTAGTATCCACAACCACGTAAATCAGTATCGAGATAGAATAAGGATTCACTTACATATTCTACTTTGTCCCATGCAACTTGTTTGAAGACTTGATTCCGCTGGGTCATTTCAGCGACCCCATTGAGTCTCTCCTTGGTCGGGGGCACATTCGTTTGAGAATTAAGTAAGGCAAGATTCTGTTTGCAAATTAAAATAATAGCTAATTAGTTTTAGAAAATTCTAAAAATTGTAAGGTGTTAGGGAAGAGCCTACTTACATCAAAACTGAACGGAAAGATAACTTTGTTCTTGTCACCGGCAAGTACTTTGTCGTTCAAGAAATGACCATAAGCCTCAATCACTTGTAGATTGACCCACTCCTTTCGCTTCAATGTCAACAGATGAAGACGAGCGAGAATAATTGAAGGAGTGTGCACCACCAAGCCCTTACCCTCAGGGGTACTGAACACGAACTCAACCATCAGACGAGCAACTGGGTCGAGCTTTGGCGACACATCCTTAGACAAATAATACACTGAAGAGGAAGCATATGGGTTCTTCTTCGACCTCTCGAACTCTGGGGTCTTCAGTGTTGCAAGCCATTCCTCAGGAGTGTAGCTGTAGAGACGGTCCCTCTCCTCATCAGTCATATCCCTCTGATCGGTGATAATCACATCAGGACTCCTCTCAGCGCTCCTATAAGCCGCTTCTACCAACTCCTCCTCTGAAGGCAACATTCCGGTGGAAGCAAGTTGAGAGAACGACTCCACCACATCTTGTTGAGGCTCAACTTCCTCGGCATTAGCAGCGCTAGTAGCCTCATGAGCTATCTGCAAAATGTCCTCAAAAGATGTATCTGGGAATGGGTAGTGAATCACCATAGGGACTGTCGGAACAACCAACTCCTCATCCGGTGTCTCTACAGTGTTATCAGCTTCATTCTCCACTTGTGGCTCGACCTGGTCCTTCTCTACAGTGTTCTTAGCTTCAGGTTTCTCCACTTGGTCTTCCACCACATCTGTTTGAAGCTGCTCTAGCACCTCTTCAACAGTATTCTCCACTCGGTCTTCCTTCTTTTCTATCAGCTCACCCAGTTTTGTTGCAAAATCCAGCAATTTTCCCATATGCCGGTCAATCCCAGCACCTAGTACCTTGAGCTGGAAGACAAACGAACATTTTGCGGGAATTAAAAACTGATATCCAAACTGCTCGTACAATTATCCCATGTACCCAGACTATTATCAGAATAGAGCGTACAAATATTCTACTTGGCAGAATTGATATCCAAACATAACAAACAAAAATATCCAAATGCATCAAATTAATATCCAAACATCACAAACCATTATTCATAACTGAAAATAACAACAAATATTCAAACATTATTCAAACATTATTCAAACATCACAAGCTGATATCCAAATGAAACCAACAAATATTCCACAACTACAAAGAAAAATCCGACTAATATCCTAAGCCATTCCAACATGGCATCATATTCGTGGAAAACAGTACAACCCCCCACCAAACAACGGAAAACAGTAACACATGGCATCATATTCACTCTTGCTCTTCCAAATTCTGGACAATCGTTTGGACCTTGTCCCTTCGAGCCACCCACTTTTCAATCATGCTCTCAGTGATTTCCTTCAATCCCTTAAGCTACACATATGTTGTGAAATATTTAGGTTACTTTATCGTCCAAGTGTACCATTGCATGATCTTAGTTAGGGAGGAAGAAAACATTTTACCTGTCCCAGCGAAAGGCTAGTTAAATCTTCATTCTCCCACCATTCCGAGGAGGGCAACGGTGCACGATCTGGAGGAGGAGCTGAACTGCTCGCAGCTGCTGCACTAGCTGCCGGCTCGAGCTGCCTGCGAGAGGCGGCTTCTTCCCTACTCAGCAGAGCGGCAGCTAGGTCATATCTTCCCCTGACTAAGGGGATAGATAAGGCTGCCCTCTCGACAGTTTGCTTCCACCAAAACCGGCAGCTAGGAATGCTCTTTGTGTGCAACCCGCCTAGCTTCAGAGAGTCCAACAGATGGAGCTGTAAAAAAAATTACAATTAATAAATGTTAAGTTCCATTTCTAGCAATTTAATCAACAAATATCCAGAGTCAACACAAACGAAATTCACTAGTTTTCATGCAATTGAACCAACAAGTATAGAAAAGGTTAGGACTTACTGTCAAGAAGTTGCAATCTCCGAGAACCCACACGCACGGCGATTTCAACCTTGCACTAGGTTCTTTTTTCTTGGCAGCAGTCAACTCTACTTTCAGTTCACGGACAATAAATGTGCACCAATCGTACACCCTCACGTCCTCAACACTCCCACCTAAGTATGGGGCGAAGTCCAGCTTGCTTTTCCGAGAAAATGTCGGTGCGAGCAACGAACCAGTAGCTATCAGCAAGAATTGCTTGACAGCAATTGCAACGGGTGGTCTGGGACCGTTGGCTGGGCAGGCCAACTCCCGCATCTTCTTGATAGAAACCATGCGAGCCCTGTTCGAAGTCATGCCAACTTCCTCGCTGAAGCTGTCAACCATCCCCCCCTCCACGTTCGTCAAATCAATCACAAACCCACCGAGAGGAAGGTCGTAGACACGTGCCACATCCTCAGCTGTGAAGTCGAAGACCTTCTTCGACTCTCCTTCCCCAAAAACAAAAGTACTGGTTTCTAAGTCATAAGCAGCCATCAAGTCATCCATGAAGAGATTGGGTATCTTCGGCATGCGAAGATCCAATAGGCCCCCGAATCCTGCCTTCTCGACTTGTCTCTTGCAGGCTGCATAGTATTCAGCATCTCCTTTCCAGTACTTAATAATTTTGCAGAGGGAATAGGTGGACCCACGAAATCTGAAATATGAGCCGGATGGACCCTCTCCCTCTCCATCATCATCTTCTTCCTCATCTTCCTCCTCAACTTCTGGAATAGCAGGTGGCGGCTGCCTTGATGGTTCTCCTTCACGAGATCTCGGTGCAACCATTTTCGTTCTCTTCATCCCGGGTTGTTCCTGAAACACAGTTATATATTAAGCAAAATATCCATAATCCTTGGACAAATAACTAAAACGCACACTTATATACAATACAATTATCGTAGTAAAGCAAAAGTGTATCCAAACGGAGATAACTAATATCCATGAAAAAATATCCATAATACCCAGAAAAATAACTAAAACGAACAGTTAAGTATCCACATTAACAGAACTGATATCCACACATCAGAATATGTATCAGTATTATAATCCAACGTACTAGTATCCACAATATTTCAATGAATATAATATATGCCCAGACTAGTATCCATACAAAATATGTATCAGTATTATAATCCAACGTACTAGTATCCACAATATTTCAATGAATATCATATATGCCCAGACTAGTATCCTTGGACAAATAACTAAAACGCACACTTATATACAATACAATTATCGTAGTAAAGCAAAAGTGTATCCAAACGGAGATAACTAATATCCATGAAAAAATATCCATAATACCCAGAAAAATAACTAAAACGAACAGTTAAGTATCCACATTAACAGAACTGATATCCACACATCAGACACATCAATTTATTTTTTTTAGCCAATATAACTAATCGAGAAACGAAGTGAGAAATCAAACCTGTGGTGGTGGTTCATCCGGCGGCTGCTGTGATGATCCAGCGGCTTCACGAGATTTCGCTGAAGATTTTGGTGCAACAGTTTTGGGTTTCTTCCTCACGGGTTGTTCCTGAAAAATAGTTAGATATTAAGAAAACTATCGGTTAATGAAAATATTAAAATGCATCCGACTAGTAATTTTTAGCCAACATAACCAATCGAGAAACGGAGTAAGAAATTAAACCTCTTGTTGTACATCAGGTGGCTGCTTTGATGATCCTTCTCCATCATTGTTGGGCTTCTTTTCCGGTCTCCCCATTAACTGAAACAATAAACAAAATGACCACAATAAGTATCACTAGTATCCATGAATCTTAAAATCGTATCCCATTTCTCCAAATATGTATCAGTATTATAATCCAACGTACTAGTATCCACAATATTTCAATGAATATAATATATGCCCAGACTAGTATCCATACAAAATATGTATCAGTATTATAATCCAACGTACTAGTATCCACAATATTTCAATGAATATAATATATGCCCAGACTAGTATCCATACAAAATAAACATCAGTATTATAATCCAACGTACTAGTATCACAATTGACAAAAATGATATCCATATAATCTTTAACCAAGGAATCGACAAATGATACCCAGATTGAACAAAATCGTATCCAACAAACCCCCAAAATGGAATTCGAGAAAACAAAATGAAACAATATATAAAATGATCACAATAAGTATCGGAAGTGATAAAACTAATATCCATGTAACATTTAATCAAGGAATCAACAAACAATACCTACATTCCCCAAAATCGTATCCAACAAACCCCCAAAATCTACAAATCGATAAATGAAACCCTAAACCCCAAAATTCGAATCCCACAGACCCAGAATCTGGTAATCTGCAAAAAAAAACCCTAAACACCCATATTCGAATCCATGAAACCCTAAATCTACAAATCGAAAAAAGAATCCATGAACCCCCAAAACGAAACCCTAAACCCCAAATTCGAATCCCACGGACACAATATCTGGAAATCGAGAATCAAAATCCTAAACACCCTAAATCGAATTGCATGAACCATATATTTTCAAATCCATAAACAAAACCCAGATTTCCACACAAAAAATCCATAAACCGAAACCCTAACATAAATTTTCAAATCCATACAGAAAATGAACAACCTCAGCGTCTTCTTCTACCTCCAACTATCGGCGGCGACGGCGGCGGAGTTTTTCGTCGGCGAAGTCGGCGGCGTCTTCTTCTTTCTTCTCCGTCGGCGGTGTCTTCTTCCTCGTCGGTCGGGAGAGCTTCAAGGGCCACGTCGGCGGTACAACCAGCAACAAGTCGCCGACCTCGCAGCCGTCGTCGCCGTCGAAGATCGTCGCTGTTGGTGGTCTCGCGGTTGGTGGTGGTTTTCGGGAGAAAAGAAGAAGAGAGGGAGAGGGTTCGAAAGTTCGTGGAGAGAGAGAGGGTTCGAAAGTTCTGGAGAGAGAGGGGAGAGTGGCTGACCGCGGGTTGAGGTTGGGTTTTGGGCGGGTTTGAAATTTTGGGTTTTACTTTTTTTTTTTTTTTTATTTCTGTCCCAAATGTGGCTCGGCTTGGCCGAGAAAACTTTTCCCCCTCACAGAATGCCGCCGGCGATTCTCACCCCTCCGATGGTGGCTCGCCTACGTGGTTCCTCATCTCACCGTGTTAGTATATACTAACCACTAATAGCGTTAGCAGAATAACGCTATTGGACTTGTTCAGTGGTGACGTTTCCAGTCACGGTGACCTTGTTCAGCTGTGTATCCACATCGTATGTTTCAATATCGTGGATCTTTTTTATGGCCTTGAGGATCTTCTTGATGCATTGGTCACAGTGCAGACCGACTTTCAGTTCCACCAACTTCATTTCAGTTCATCACCAAACCCATTTAAGGAAAGAAAAGAACATCAGACAGTTGGGGGAAATCAAGAGCAGCTGGGAAATGATCATCGAAGGCGCACAACTTGCTTACATTAGACATTCGTCGAATTTCTTTATCAGAAGGATCCTGACTTGAGATCAGCGGGAAGTGGGAAAAGAAGAGGTAAGGGAGAAGAGATGGTGAATGTAATGTAAGAGGAAGGAGAAGAAGGAAGAGGGAAGAAGAATATAAACACTGGAGAAAGGTGGTGTGTGGCGAGGCAGGCAGCTCCGGCCGCTTTATTCCATGGAAACAGAGACCATTGCTTTTTACTAGTAAAAGCTGTATTATTCCCACGGCATTGACAAAATAGGTCGACGCTCGACAGAATTGCTTGTGGTCTCCTGCTGCTGGTGATATTCCATAGTTACAAGCGCATTTTTTAAGCATTTCCCCTTGACACTGCTTTTCTCAGTACAGCAATCGTTCTGGATCATGATTTTGTCCATAACCGGAATGAATGAACGAACGAATGAATGATTGATTCATTATCGTTTCTCAAAATCCAAAGCAGGTTCTGGATCATGATTTTGTCCCAAGTTCTAACTTATATCTCAGTATCCTTTGCAGATTAATCATCAATTCAGTTTTATTTGATTTGGTGAAAACTGAAAACATTGAGCTAATTCGATTCAGGTAGTTTGGTTTTATTAGATGGGAATCCGTGATTTGCCGAGAGCAACATCGAATCACTTTGTCTTCCAGCACATGTCGGAGATGAAGCACAACACGAATTGTGCAAGTTAGAGGTCTTACGAACGATAAATCAATAAGTCCTTGATATGTCTTCTTGCTTCGGTTGGGAATAAATGCAACTTCACTGCACATACTAGGAATAGAAAGACGGACTGTCAATCTCGAGATTTCAAATTCGAATTCTAACAAATTTTCCTTAGGGCCAAAGTACATATTTGTTTGGCCACGATGTGGAGAAATGAGTCATGTTGGAGATGTATGTGCCTTTGTGGGTGAGGTCAGCAGTACCAATAATTCAGCCAAGAATCATTGCCCTTTCGGCTCCTGAAACTGATAAAGGAAACAAACAGACAAATTTGAGATAAATATCATTAGGGGTGGCAATGTTACGGGATACCCGTCCGTTTGAAACGGGTACCCAGTCTCATTTGAAGACTAAAATTCATCTCATGTCCCAACCCATATAAGTAAATGGGTATTCATTTTCCGTACGGGACGGATAACAGGTACCTATACTACCCATAAATACCCAAAGTTTGAATCACTAAAAATTTAATAAAAGTTTAAACTTAACTTGTACCCCTACTTAACAATCACAATTATCCATATGTATTACAAAATTCATCCCAATCACACAATGACAAATACTCGGTTTACAACCTACAAATTCATGAACAATTACAAGGTTTAGAATAAAGCATTCCAAGCACCCATAACATTAATAACTAAGAAAGTAAGAAGCTGCTGTTAGTTGCAAGTTGGAATTATAAAATTAGTTGCTGGAAAACTAATTTGGGGAACTTCCAACAGGCACGCTGCTGTTTGTTCCAACTAGCAAGCTGCTGGGTGTTCTGCAA